TTGGGCACCAGGGGCGCGGGGAGATGCTGATCCGGAAGAGGCGATGGCTGCAGTGGCGCGCACGCGGCCGCTCCCGGCCCGCCGTCCGGCCTGAGCTACTCCGTCTGAGTTTCTGATCTAACGCCCCCGGGCCCAGAGCTTGTAGCAGCAGCAGCGGCAACAGTAGCAGCAGAAACAGCAGCGGCAGCAGCAAAAGCAGCAGCAGCAGCGCAGCGCAGCGGTGCCGACATCGTCCTAACTTGCACGCGTGGAGTGACCCCAGACATTTCACTAAAATGAGCGTGCTTAGCAGGAAGAGATGTGTTCCTTACACTAGAAATCACCCCGTCACATGTAGTGGTGTAAGTAAATGATTAATTTCTATTATGGCCAGGTTGCAAGCAGTCTTTGGAAACGCGCCGCTTCACCCTCCTGTGCCCTCCCGGCTCTGCCCGCACCCCTCCGATCTACCCCTCCTAACTTCCCATCCGCTCTCGCTCTTCCCTGGGCTATAGCTTCGGCTGTTGGGGTCTCAGGGGGCAGGGGACTAACAACCTTTTCTGGGTTTTTCTAGGGAAAGGAAGATGACTCGACTGCCTTGGAGTTTCGAGGCCTTCCCCTTAAAATTTTTTTATTTTTATGTTGTGTGTGTGTGAAGAGCAGCGTGTCAGGAAAAAAGGTCCAGAGTGGTGGAAATGTTTCCGTTAGAAAACAATGGAATTTGGGTGCTTTGCTCCTGGTCCCAGAGATGTTTCTTTCAACCCAACTCCAAATGTAGTCTGTCTTTGCATCTGAGTTCTGGCCAACTTCTGGGAGAAATCCTTAGTATCGTTTTTTGGTGTATGAGAAGGCTTATTCTGTGTTAGGCTTGCATTTTTGTTAATATGACCATTCAAGATCCCTTTGGGCCTTGCCGTCCACTGGATCTGCAAGGAGTATTCATCTCTCCATCTTCCTCCATATTACAATGTCAGCGACTCTGGTAGGAGCCTCCTTTAAATTTGAAGGCCATCCTCTCTGCTCATCTCTTCCTGATTCTCCCTTCCTATCCATCCTCCTTAATTTTTACCTTCATTTTCATGATAGTCCACCCTTTCTCATTTTGTAAGGTGCGGGATGTGGGATATTGGTTGCTAGGAGACAAGCCAGGCTCCCAGGGAGATTCTGTTGTTTCCTTGACAACCAGACTAGGGCAGCCACAGATGAACAAGCCTCCTATCAGCTGTGGGAGGGAAAGGGGGGCTTTTCTGGGCTCTGCAAAGAGTGTGTGTAGGGGTGTGGGGGTGGAACTGGGAGCCCGTGAAGATTGTAGCTAATCTGGGCACACCTTGCTTTTTAGTCTGTCCTGAGTACAAAGAGCTGGGAGAGCAGTGGGCAAGAGGCTTTTTTTGTGGAGAGAACAGGGATCATGGGATAATGTAGGGAGGGAACATTTAGATGAGTCTGAGATCACTGAAGGATAGGAATGAATTGGGGGTTGTGACACCCAGGGACGGGTGGCAAGGAAGTCGTAGCTTATGGAGGTTACTCAGAAGTCTCAGAAAGCATGGGGATGAGGCAACTGTACAGAAAGGCCTAGAGTCATTGAAAGAGGGAGTGCCAGAAGGAAAGGGGAAATTGTGAAGCTCATTGAGTGGGTTGTATCATCGTACATCATCAATGATACCTAAAGTAGCAATATTTTAGAGCAAAAGTTACTGTTGGGTTGCCATGCTAGCCGCAGTATAGGATCCTTGTTTAAGACAGGCCTGATTAGACTAAGAGTTCTGCTGGCTTAATTAGGCCAGTCTGTATCTTAAAGAGAGATATAATTACATATATAGATATGTAATCTAGCATTATATAATCCCACATTACATAAGAAGGCAAAGACCTCCTTTCAGCCCAGCCTCTCTTGGCATGAATTCACCAAGGTTCAGGAGACTTTCTTCTAACCAAAGCCCTCAAACCCATTTTCCAGAAGAGCAGGCTGACACCTAGAGAAGTGAAGTAATTTGCCCTTTCCTAGATGTGACAATGACGTTTCTAGTCGGACAGTTGGGACAGGAGTGGAGGGAGCGAGAATGATAAAAATAGGGAGGAAGCGAAAGGATGAGCAGGGGAAGGATGAAGAGGGGCTGTCCAGCCTGAGCAGCACCCCCCAGGTCTGCTAGCTAAACTCACAGCACAGCGTGTGTCACTCTCCTACTTGGGTGCCTGTTGCCTACTTAACCTTAGAGGTGCATAAGGCAATTTGAACTCAAGTGTTTCTGACTCTCAATTCCATATTCTATACAGAGTTACACTATCTTTCCATTGCAAATGGTGAGGATCTCTGTGGTCGCCGTGGTCTGAAAAGGGAAACCGAGTCTCGAGGGGCTTGATAGAAATGTTGGAGAAAAAGCAGGAAGAGGAACTGCTGGGAAGTGTGTTGGTAGCCACAGCAATAGCACCACCTCCTTACGAAACTACGTCTCCTTGCTTATGCACTCGTGTGTGAGCATTTTAATCAAAACTTGCTGATCCAGGACCAGCGCTGCTCTGCTGTCTGGCACCCTCCCCACCATCAAGATGCTCCTGGACTTGAGAACTGATGCTCCTTCTCTGGGCCTTCTCATTTCCCTCTGCCTGCATACCAACATGCAATCTAAATTTGAGAAGGAACTTCTATTGGCCAGTCTAGTGGGTTTTTCTTTTATATCCTATATCTGTACGTATTTGTATTTGAGAGTCTATCTGTTTTGTTCTCCAATCAATAAAACAGAAACCACAACCCAGATGATTCTTCCCAGGGCCAACACATCTTCCCAGCTGCCTGACTTGAGACCAGGAACTGTCAAAGTCGGATTCCCAGTCCTTAGCTCAGGAGAGAGAGCAGGGAGGAGGCAGCATGTGGTTAGAATAACAGTTGCCTGCTGGGGAGGGTGAGGAGGGGTAGGGGAGGGAGAGGAATGATGCAGACGGTTACCCTGGAAACTGGGGAGGGACCTGCCATGAAGACCCTTGTTCAGGGTCCTGATTCTGTAAAATTCCAAGAAGTAGGAGGGGCTTGTCTCATTGAGAAGTCCTTGCTGCACTTTTTGCTTAGGTTGCTGAGATGCATCCACTTGCGCAAATCTCAGTTGCCATCGTTACTTGGATATTTTGGCTCTGCATTCTGGATGGCTCAGCAGTGAGGGTGCCCAGGCAGCCTCCAGGACTCTTCTGAGCTCACCCTCCCTTGGCCTAGGAAGGATTCCTTCAGGTTGCTCCAGCCCCCAGTGGACTTCATGCACATAGGGCATGTGAGCAGGGGCAGGCCAATGACCCTGGCCAAACCAAGGCCTAGTAATAATGCCTCCTAAGAATGCCTGCCTTGCCTTACCTTCCGAAGGTGCCAGTGGAGAGGCTGCAGGTGAAACCCCCTCAAGCCAAGGGCCCCCTCCCGGTGACGACTTTTTAAACACTGACATGACATTTGACTACAGAAAGTTCTTCCGATTGTTAATTTGAACCACCTCTCTCTGAGGGTGGACAAACCACTTCCTCTCTGCCCAACACAGAAGGAAACTAAGGCAAGCATTTGCCTAGAAATTCAGGCCAGTTTCGGACCCTGTGCTCCCTCCCAGCAACCTCATTACTCATGCAGCCAGTTTATCAGGGTCCTTTCAAGTGTCAGGTTCTCTGGGGGCTTTGGCCTGAGTGTGCTTCTCCCTAGGAATGGGAAATGCAGAGGGACCATAGCTCACTCGTCCTGAGGCTAGATGCAGGATGCTGGAAGGCAGGCCTGGGTAGGGCGTGGCAAGGCCCACTGGCCATGGAGCGTATTGTCACAGGCTCTAGTTACCCCACCTCCATCTCAAAATTAGGCCTGCCGCTGAGTGAGCTACACAGGCCACGTGATAGACCCAGAGGAGGGAGGGGAGGCTGGTGGGCTGCTCAGGTACATCCAGAAGCCTTCCTACCCAGAGAGTCTGAGAGGAAAAACTCTGACATCTCCATAAAGAAGGTGGCGGGGTGGCGGGGGAGGGTTGTAAATCCACAAGGGGAGGAGAGAGTTGAAAGTGGAGGCCAGGAGAGCTGCCACCCAGCTCTGACAATGCCATTAAATTTTAAAGTGGCCCTGCCCTCGGGCATGCTGGGAAGGGGTGGGGACCTGGCCCCATCTCTGCTTCTCTCAGCTGTTGTTCTGCTGCCACAGCCCTGCTGGCGGGAGGAGAGTGGATGATGAGTGAGCTTCCCAGGCAGACTCTCCTCTTTCTGGGAGAGAGGGCACAGGTCCTGGGTAGGCTCCGCCCGGGGTTCTCTCACAGGCCTCCCCCATCCAGAAGCCCAGCTGGAGGATGGTGGCAACAGAAGAGACGCTGGCGATCCCTCCAGTAGAAAGGTTCCTCTCAGCCTGAATGGGCTCCCAGCCCCTCAGGCCCCTGTGGAGCTACCGCCCAGAAAGCTGCCCACTCCTTTTTCTTCCTCTGCTCAAATGCTGGAAGAGGGGAGGTGGTTTCAGCCCGAGGAGAGCTCCTGGCCTTGGCCCGCTGGAATCAGGTATGTGAAGCTGTCTTGACCCTTCTCTCCTGTCCCTCAGGTCCCAATTAATGGATTCTGACATGGATTATGAAAGGCCAAACGTAGAGACCATCAAGTGCGTTGTGGTGGGGGACAACGCTGTGGGCAAGACCAGGCTCATCTGTGCCCGAGCTTGCAATGCCACCCTCACCCAGTACCAGCTGCTCGCCACTCACGTGCCCACGGTTTGGGCCATTGACCAGTATCGGGTATGCCAGGAGGTAAGGCTTCAAGGCTACTTGGCAGGTGGGTCCACACCACGTATCTGGGCTTCTTCTCAAGCCATAGCTTGGTGTCTCCAACCCTGGCCTGTGCTGGGCTCATGGGAGCCCTCTGGGGATGGAGAGGGCAGCTGAAGAGGAAGGAGCCTCTAGAGAGAGGGCCGAGGGGGGCCTATCCCAGAGTGTGTGTGTGTGTGTGGGGGGGGTCCTCCTACATTTGTGTTTTGCATGGCTGAGCTGGAGCCTGGAGCTCAGCGTCTTGTGCAATCACAACCCCAGGATTGGGGCGCACTAGCGGGTGGCGGGGGGAGCTTTGAAGAGATGAGAGCTGAGAGAAGGAAAGAAGCTGCCGGCTGATACCAAAAGGTCAGAGGCACATAAAGAGATGATTCACAGGTAAAGCTGGGAACAGGGGCAGGCTCCCGAGGGGATACCTTCTATAGCCGTGGTCTCTGCCCTCTTAGAGTCTCTTCCCTCGTGGCCAGGTTGGAGGCTGCATTCATTGTTAAGTCTACAGAGAAGGCACCTGGATAGCGTGTTGTGCAAGGCACGTAGTGGGAGTTGCTAGCTCTGTCCTTCCACACCGCCCTCCCCCATGATGCCTGGCACCCTCAGGAGTGAGCTGACACACAGGGGCCCCAAGAACTCCACACCCCACCCTCTCCTCCCCTACAGGTGCTGGAACGCTCCAGGGACGTGGTAGATGATGTCAGCGTCTCCCTCCGCCTCTGGGACACCTTTGGAGACCATCACAAAGACCGTCGCTTTGCTTATGGCAGGTAAGGAAGCCTCTGCTGCCTGCTTGGATCCAAGAAGTAGGTTTTCCCCCACTTTCCCAAGGAACGGAGCAACTCTGAAACATTTAAAGTGGGAGGAAGGAATGGGGCAGACAGCACTGGCCGACCCTCACGGGGGAGGCAGCCAGGCAGTGAGAGGAGCGAGTTTGGAGTCAGAAGGCCTGGTTTCAGGCCTAGCCCTGCTGCTGACTAGCTCTGTGATTTTAGGCAATTAGGGAAGCTATTCCAAGATGATTTCTCTCAGCCTCATGATGGTAAAAATGGTCATTTCTAACAAGATAGCTATGAGGTCAAAACGAGAGTCCTTAAAAGCTCTAAAATGTAAAGGTACAGGTAACTTAAATTGGAGGTACTATTATTATGTTTTGTCTAAGATCACGTTAGCAGATAATATGACAGATGTGGGACTGTCATGTAGGGGTGGGGTGGGTTTGCATGTTCTTCCTCGTTCCAGGGTCAGATAACTTCCCTACCCCTAACATCACTCTCTCACCTCAGGTCCGACGTGGTGGTTCTGTGTTTCTCCATTGCCAACCCTAATTCCCTCCACCATGTCAAGACCATGTGGTACCCAGAGATCAAGCACTTCTGCCCCCGAGCACCTGTCATCTTGGTGGGCTGCCAGCTGGACCTGCGCTATGCTGACCTGGAGGCTGTTAATAGGGCCAGGCGACCCTTGGCTAGGTAAGGGTGCTGGTCCCTAGGGCGAGGGGAGGAGGAAGACAGAGTGAGGGGTGTGTCTCCATGGCTCCCTGCTCGGCCCTGAGGGAATTCACTGAGCCTTATATCTCTCTATCCATTCGAAGCAAGCTCCCATAGGGAGCCAACAAAGGTGTTCATTCACTCCATCCATCCATCCATCCATCCATCCATCCATCCATCCATCCATCCATCTATCCATCTATTATACAATGTATGGGCGATACTGGACTAAGTACCGTGAGGAGAGAAGGAGAGAGGCAGTCTGTGGGAAAGGGACTTAAAATCTGCTGGGAGATGAACTTAATATGTGAATACGTTAAAAACCTACGTGGAACATTACAAGTTACTTGCCAAAGAGGTAGTTAGTGCCACCACTGCTCTGAGTAGGGGAGATTACCAGGGCCTGACAGATATGGAAAGCTTCCTGGAAGAAGAGGGGATTGGAGGTAGGCCTTGAAAAACTAGTGGGATTTGGTCAAAGGAGAAAGGGCAGAGATTCAGTGGAAGTGAGCAGGGCAGAGGTAGGGCCAGGGACACAAACCCTGAGCAGAGACCACCCCAGCCTGGTGAAGAGCAGGCAGGCTCTGGGGAGCTACCTCTCCTGCCCCCATCCTCCACCACCATGACCTTGCTTTCCACTTCTTGAACCTACCAGGCCCATTAAACCTAATGAGATCCTTCCGCCGGAGAAGGGCCGGGAGGTGGCCAAGGAGCTGGGCATCCCCTACTACGAGACCAGCGTGGTGGCCCAGTTCGGCATCAAGGACGTCTTCGACAACGCCATCCGCGCAGCGCTCATCTCCCGCCGCCACCTACAGTTCTGGAAGTCCCACCTCCGCAATGTGCAGCGGCCTCTGCTGCAGGCGCCCTTCCTGCCCCCCAAGCCCCCTCCGCCCATCATTGTGGTGCCCGATCCCCCCTCCAGCAGTGAGGAGTGCCCCGCCCACCTCCTGGAGGACCCGCTGTGCGCGGACGTCATCCTGGTGCTGCAGGACCGGGTGCGCATCTTTGCCCACAAGATCTACCTCTCCACCTCCTCCTCCAAGTTCTACGACCTGTTCCTCATGGACCTGAGTGAGGGGGAGCTGGGGGGCCCCTCGGGGCCAGGGGGCCCCCGCCCAGAGGACCATCGGGCTCACCCTGATCAACACCACCACCATCACCATCACCACCACCATGGCCGGGACTTCCTGCTTCGGGCCGCCAGCTTCGACGTGTGCGAGAGCGTCGAGGAGGCCGGGGGCTCGGGTCCCGCTGGGCTCCGGGCCTCGACCAGCGACGGGATCTTACGGGGCAACGGAACAGGGTACCTGCCCGGGAGGGGTCGCGTACTATCCTCCTGGAGCCGAGCTTTTGTGAGCATCCAGGAGGAGATGGCAGAAGATCCACTGACCTACAAATCCAGACTGATGGTGGTGGTAAAAATGGACGGCTCCATCCAGCCGGGGCCTTTCCGGGCTGTTCTCAAGTACCTGTACACAGGGGAGCTAGATGAGAACGAGCGGGACCTCATGCACATCGCCCACATCGCCGAGCTGCTCGAGGTCTTTGATCTGCGCATGATGGTGGCCAACATTCTCAACAACGAGGCCTTCATGAACCAGGAGATCACCAAGGCCTTCCACGTCCGCCGGACCAACCGGGTTAAGGAGTGCTTGGCAAAGGGCACCTTCTCAGGTAGGGAACGTGCTTGGGAACTGACGGCCAGAAGGCAGGGGAGTGCCCTCCCAGTAGCCTTAGGAGGAGGCCGGCTTGGTCCCATTAGCATTCCTGTCATCTGAGCTGCTGATGTCCTGGAGACATGGTGGCTCTGTTCCCGAAGCCCCCACCCTGACAGCGTGGCCGTGCAGCTCTCTCCAGCGTGTGGCTTCAGAAGGACATCTGTTGTCTGAGGGCAGTGTTGACCCTTGGGGTTGGTTGTCCCACATTCTTTCACCACATCTTCACGTGATGCCTCTTCCCCCTGACAGATGTGACTTTCATCTTGGATGATGGCACCATCAGCGCCCACAAGCCCCTGTTGATTTCCAGCTGTGACTGGATGGCTGCCATGTTTGGGGGACCATTTGTGGAGAGTTCCACGAGGGAGGTAAGGCTAGGATGGTGGGGGAGGGGACGGAGACCTACGCCCTGTGCTTTCTTGAGCACTGACTATGTGCTAACCAGTGAGTAAAGTTTATGAGATGGTTTTCGTAGCCGAAGATTTTACAATATACCAGGACAGGGGATTATAGTAACATCTTAACTTTATGGTTTGGAAAGCACTTTCAGTACATTATCTCAGATCATTCTCACACATGACTCATATATAGTGTAGTGTTCCCACTTTATACATAAGAAAAGTAAGGCCCTGAGAAGTTAATGACTTGTGCAAAGTTGTATAGTAGAAAAGAGAGGCTAGGACTTGAACTCAAGACCTCTGATTCCTTGGCTTTATACATTCTACTTTGGTTTCCCTCTGACTCATGTGAAATGACCAGAAACAAAGTTCAGTGTTTCTCAGACTGAACCCATCACGGTTTTAAAATGTGGGTTTTATTATTATTGAGGCATGGTGAAGCCAAAAGATCAGGAGAAAATCACCGTTGAGAGGATAGATTGTTATACTCACAGAGAGGGCATGCCTAGTAGGGGGAGCACACGGGGAGGCAAGAGACAGAGGGAGCAAGGGGAACTGTGAGCAACAGCCTTGGTTCTGGTTTCCAGCGGAAGGAACGGGGGTGGGTGGGTGGTGAGGCAGGTAAGGTTTAGCATTGGCTGGTATGGGTAATTTCGTGGGCTATGGGGCCTAGGGGCTGTCCCAAGTCATCTGGTGCCTGTTCCTGACATGATGGGGGCAGGTGGATAGTGGCCAGGATTGTGAAAGCTGAAAAAGAAGGTGGTGGGGATATGGGTTCTGGACTCGTTGGTTTGCGTACAGCTTGCAAGGGACTCTGTTATTATCCCTAGGTCCCTCCAGGGTCAGAAAGGCCCCAGATATCAAAGCATCAAAATATAGAAACTAAGAAGTGCTTTATATAACCACCTTTCCCTTTAATCGGGGAACTCACCTGTTCTTTCACTGATACTGTCATTTTCTCGGGCACAGAGAGTGGGAACAGAGTTGGAAGGGGCCTATCAGTGTGTCCTTAGAACTATACTCTTAAACCTGTTATCTCTTTTGCATCCTCCCAGCAAGCAGAGTCGCCCAGGCCATGCCCCTTGGTATTCTCCATCTTCTCTGAACTCCTGTAACATTAATTGTCCATCACTCAGCTTTGCAATTAATCGGGTACTACTTTGTGCCGCTGCTTAAATTGCTGAGTGTCCACACGCAGTTTTCCCAACTGATCTGTGATGTCTTTTGAAGGCAGCAACTAGGTCTTTATCTCTGCAAGTACCCCCTCAGCCAGCAATAGCCCCTTAGTACACTTAGTACACTCATCAAGTACCTGAATAACAAACTGGACTAAGAACAATGTAGCACAGTGTCCTATGACATGGAATAGGAATTTCCTAGGATTTCTGTGAAGGAAGTCCTTATGGAAGGAAGGCTAAGGGGAGGATTGAGATTTGAGTCGGTCTCTGATCCTTGAAGAAGAAGTGGGCTTGGAATATACGAATGGGAGACTAGGAACTCTCTGAAGCCCCAGGGGCTGGCGAGCCCTGGGCACTTCTCAGTACCAGGGAAGCAGCTTCAAAGCACTAGGTGATTCCTAGTGCAGCCTGAGAGCCTTGCATCTGATGAGAAAGCAATTTTTACAGCAGCGCTGCTCCGAGGAGATCCCGGAAGCCCAAAGCATCAGCTTTGAGCAGCCAGAGAGAAGCCAGCTGGTGCTCGCTCGTGCTCTCTGTATCCCGCTTGTGCTACTCCCTGCAGGGCCAGGAGGGCTGGGTATAGGTTTTGGTGACCTGAAGGATGCCTTTGAGCATCCTCCAAGCCCGAATGGCTTTGAAAAGATGCCAGTGAGAGAGTCCAGGTCCTTCTAAAAGCTGTTAGAGCCATGCTCACTGGTGCTGCCAGCAGATGGGCACAGTGCAGGTTGTGGCTCTGGAAGACAGGCCTTCAGGGGGCTTCTGAGCAGGTACAGGGGCAGCACAGGCATGGCCACCTGTCGCAGGGAGACCAGCCGTGTGGGCCAGGACCTTTGAGTTTCTCAGAACTGAGTGACTCTTCCCCTAACACCAGACCTCACTGCTCTTTTCCACCCCCGGCAGGTGGTCTTTCCTCACACTAGCAAGAGCTGCATGCGGGCAGTGCTGGAGTACCTGTACACCGGCATGTTCACCTCCAGCCCCGACCTGGACGACATGAAGCTCATCATCCTGGCCAACCGCCTCTGCCTGCCGCACCTGGTTGCCCTCACAGGTGACTAACCGGAGCGCTCAGATCTCCCCAGGGGAGAAGTCAGGGGAACCCCCAGGAGTGGTTACTTCTCCTCACACCTGTCTCCTCCTCGGGGACAGACCGCTAGCACTAAGGGACCCGTTTATGTAAAGAGAAGCATGTTGATGCGTATTGGGGGTTGGGCGAGGACACAGATGTAAAGAAGTATGTATGAGAAAAATGTTCTGATGGAGTGAGTCACTGGTAGGCCATCTCCAGAGGTGATTTCAGCCCAGCAAAGTGGCCTCCAATAGGCGATAGTGTCGACGTTCTTATTGGCTCGCTTCACTCGGGCAAGCCTATGAAGTCCAAGAGAATAGAACGCACTTCCACATTTCTGTCCTTCGGTTCTTCTTTTCCTCCTTGTCCTTCTTTCTTTCCTTTTTCTTCTGCTTTTCCTTCTCCGCCTCCTTCTCTTCCACCTTCACTTTCTCTTTCTTCTCCCAGAGACAGGCAGCAAATACTGACCTGCCACTCCTAGTTCCCGGAGCTCAGCTTTTAGAAGGGACCAACCCCAGAGGCCCTCGGCGTGGAGCTGGGACTGAAGCGAGAGGGAGACCAGGCTGCGGGCCGTCGGGCCTAAGGGGCTGGAGAGAGAAATGGTGCCATTGCATGAAGGGAGTCTGGGGCCAGGGATGCAGGCAGACAGCGGCTGTTGATGTTAGAAGCGGCATTTGTGTGGTGCTGGTATTAACATTGGTACCTGTACTGATGTTGGTACTGGGGTTATATTCTTGGGCAGGTTGGGTGGCAGAGAGCAGGACCTCTGATTTGGAGGTCAGGGAGGCACCCAGTGTCAGAGCTGCTGGGGCCCTGGGCAGCTGGTCAAGTTTGGGACTCGGGTATGAGGGAAATAGCAATCTTATGATGAGAAACAGTTATGAGGTGGGGCTTAGTCATAGGAAGAAGGCAGAAATCATTGATCAGAACCGGAATATTAAGAGCTGAGCCTGCAGAGGAAGTCCAGGGACCCCAGCTGGGGACGCAGGGGGCGTTAGGACAGGGAGCAAGAGAGGCTTCTAAAGATCATAGCCTAACAGTATGTCATCCACGCTGACCATGGAAAATGATGTGGTGTTTCTAAAGCACATAAAACTGTCCAAACTCTTAGACGAGGTAATTCAGCTTTAGAAAGACTATCTCCAGAGAAATGACCGAAAGGAAAAAAATGTATAAAGATGCTTCTATAAGTTGGTTTCATCATGGCAGGCAATTAGAGACAAGTCAATAGGGACCACTGGTTAAGCACACATGGGTAATTTTCACAAGGTAGCCATTAAAAATGTTAGACGGCATGGCTGCACAGAAAGGCACACAGAAAATAACACCGAATGACTTTTCCCGTAGAATGGTCCATGCTAGAAAACATGTACAAAAATGTGTTGTATGCATACCTTGTCAAGGAGCAGCAGAAAATGCCGAGTATGGGATAATTGGTGATGCTTTATGTTTGGTGATATGCTTTCTCAAGTTATTAATTCAAGCTCAAAACTTTTTTTGTTAAATGAAACACAAATACATGAAACATATGTTCAGTTTAGTGAATTATTATAAAGCAAAATGACTCATATCAGGAGCTAAAACCTTCCACACCAGAAGCCGTCCACCTGTCCGTCCCAATCATAGCCCTTTCCTCCTCCCCAGAAGTTTCCACTCTGCCTATTACTCTTTTTCTGGGTACTTTTTATGACTTCACTTCCTTACTCTTCTTCATAGTTCTATCATTCAAATGTGCATCCATAAACGCTATAGCACGGTTTTATTTTTTATACATCTTTTAAGTTTCTTTTAATCTATAAGTACCTTGTTCATTCAAAAAAAGAAAGTTTTTCCCTTGCATTTTATTTGTTGGAAGAAATCCACTGATCTTGAAAATCTAGATTCTTGCTGATTGCATTTCTATAGCGTACCATATTTCCTGTAAACTGGTCATTGGATCTAGAGGCTAGATCAAAAAAAAAGAGGCTAGATCAGATTCACATTTAATTTTCTTTTGGTAAGACAACTTTAGAACAGAAACTTTTGTTTCTGTTTTTTCATCAAGAAACATAAATTGTCTGCTTTTTTCTCTTCTTATTATGTTATCAACCATTGATAACAACCATTGAGTTTCATTGTCTGGATCCATTAATTTATTAGATGCTGTGGAATGGTAATATTCCAGTTCAATCATTCTTTCTTTATTTATCTGTTGGAGTACTTCTAAAAAAGAGAGACGCTTCCCCTCACCTACTTTTTGGTTACCCAGTGGTACAATTCATACAGGAAAAGTAGGTTAATTCTTGATTCTTTTCTTTTATTTACCAGTTTTCAAGATAATTTGTTTCCTATCATCCTTTGAGGGTGACCAGTTAGTTCTTTTTATTTTTAAGTATTATTATGAACTCTTAGATTTGAACATACTCGATTGTTTTTAAATAATTGCAACGACCCTTATCGAAGCTCAAATACTGTAGTGAACCTTTAGCCAGAAGAGGTCTCTTCACGTCGGCTCCAGAGTCTCAGAGCTTCTGACAAGATAAGATGTTCCGGGCTCGTCTCATTCATTTCCTGCCCCAGACCTGGAATCAGCCATTCCCTCCGCAGTCCGGGTTTCTGATAACTGGAAATGGTATTTCAAGGCTGTAGTCTGTGCGCTAGGGATGCTCGTTGCTACCGCGATGGCTGTTGTTGCTAGGTCTTTCCTGTGGGCTGAGCTGGGAAATATAGTTATATTTTTAAAGATTAAATCTCTCAGGAGTTTATACTGATACAGTTAAAATTCAGGACAAAGAGCACTTACTTCTTTAATATAAATGCTTTAACTTTAACTTTATTACACGATTTGTAATAAAATTTAAATTAATACAAACAACGGAGTTTAATCTATAGTTCTGATTTGTCGTTCTCAGCAAACCTGAGACTTCATATCCTCTCTCGGCAGTGTTGGTGGCTGATTCCACTGGTGGCTTTCACTCTACGTGTATCGGACTGTTTGGTGCAACATATGTAGCTAGAACAATCCTCTTTGATGGGTCTAATGTCCTCCTCCACTTCCCACCCCACTCCACTCCCCCTAATCCCAGTTTCCTCACTGGTGGGAGCAGACTTAAATCACCTGTGGCCTTTCCTGGCTTGTTGGGACTTGCCCTTGGTTCTGATCTCCCTTTGCCCTGCAGCGGGCGCCTGGGGTGTAAGTGAGTGCTTGTCCATTCATGTGGTTCTTCAGCTGATTCCTAGCTGTGTGTGTGTCACAGAGCAGTACACAGTGACCGGGCTGATGGAAGCAACTCAGATGATGGTGGATATTGACGGGGACGTCCTTGTGTTCCTGGAACTGGCTCAGGTATGATGGCAGAAGAAGGAATCTCTCCAATAGTCTCAACTCTGGGCTCTCTCTGCCTATTGACAGCGAATGGGGAGGGACTGGAACTGGAGGTGGTGAGTAGAGAGGGACCCATTGTCAGACTCAGTTCCTCGACTGGGCAAAGCCCACCTCATCCTCCGGGCCAGAGAATACACCGTGACATGCCAAGAGGACAGGCTGGTTGTGGGGAATGGGACTAACATTTCAGGTAACAATAGGGCAGGGGAAGGAACCCCAGTCTCATAGGTAGACATGGTTGCTACCTGCATGACATCATTTAAGGGACATTAAAGACTCTCCATCTAATATCAATTCCCCACTCCTTATTCCCATACAAACTAGCAAAATCTCCCACACCAGCCCTGAGAGTGTCAGAAATTCTACCACTACAGATGAGTTGATGGAGTTAAAGCATGGCAGATTTGAGGCTTGCAGACACACCTGGGCAAGTCAGTTCTAAGCTTAGTTGTCAGCACCTTAGAGCAGACTGCTTCTGCCCCTGATGGTGAGGAGAAGAACATCATCTGGGGTAAGATCTGAGGAGGGCGGATGCAGTAGGAAGCCACTACAAAGGGCGAGGGATTTTCGTAGATGCTGGGACAGGACAGAGGCGAGGTGATGATGGTAGCGGTGGCACCAAGAGCCAGTCGAGCGCGGTGTCCTCACAGCGTTGTGTGGGTGTGTCTCTTGAGGTAGGCTCTTTCTGAATGCAGAGTCTTTGTCCACCCACACTGATGCTTTAGCTCTGATGGCAACCATAGCTGTATATGCTGACCCCACCCTGAGGTCCCAGGACAGACGCT